CACCCTTGAGCCAGGTTTTATAAACAAAATATCACACCCTTGAGCCGGGTTTTATAAACAAAATATCCCACCCTTGAGCCAGGCTTTATAAACAAAATATCACACCCTTGAGCCAGGCTTTATAAACCGTCACAGACAAAATATCAGACCCTTGAGCCAGGTTTTATAAACCCTCCGAGACAAAGCATTGCATCCTTGAGCCAGGTTTTATAAACAAAATATCGCACCTTTGAGCCAGGTTTTATAAACAAAATATCGCACCTTTGAGCCAGGTTTTATAAACAAAATATCACACCCTTGAGCCAGGCTTTATAAACCCTCTGAGAAAAACATCGCACTGTTGCAGCATTTCTGAGAGAGAGAGGGCATGATTTATGTTTGGAATGAGATTTGAGCTACTCCAGTCTAGGCCTCTGCTGTTAATGATCCATTAATTATTAGTTATCTTCTGTTCATGGCCAGTGAGTGTCCCTGCAAGGCTGAGAAAATTCCATCATCCATGGGGAGATGCTCTGCCCTGGGGAGGAGCCAAGAATTCCTACCTGGATACAATCTGGGATTTTGGGACACCAGAACAGCCTTTGCCCACGGCATTCCCAGAGGATCAAAACCCCCCAAATCCCCCCAAATCCCCCAAAAGCAGCGCCGGCCTCACCTCAGCCGCCAGGAACGCGTCCACCTCGTTGTGGAAGGTGTCGAAGAGGAGAGTCAGGGCCTGCCTGGGGGACAGGGGACAGCGCTCAGCCCTGGCTGGGGGACACGTGGGGACACATGGGAGATGTGGGAACATGTGGGGAGACATGGGGACAGTGCCATCGTGTCCTGCCCTGGATGGGGATTGGGGACAGTGTCACTGTGTGTCCCCCATCTGGCAGGAACTGGGGACAGTGCCACCATGTCTCCTTGTGTGGGAATTTGGGACAGTGCCACCGTGTCCTGCTCAGTGTGGGGACAGGGGACAGTGCCACCGTGTCCCCTTGTGTGGGAATTTGGGACAGTGCCACCGTGTCCTGCTCAGTGTGGGGACAGGGGACAGTGCCACCGTGTCCCCGGCCCTACCTGCTGATGGTCTGTTTGATGGGTCGCTCCTGCAGGTGGATGTGGTGGTTGAGGGTGGACGGGCTCTGCTCATCGCTGGCCTGGGGACACAGAGAGGCTGAGCGGGGCCACAGGGAGGTGACACCAAGCCCTCGGTGTGACACCGACCCCTCAATGTCCCAGGGAGGTGACACCAAATCCTCAGTGTCCCAGGGAGGTGACACCGAGCCCTCGGTGTGACACCGACCCCTCAATGTCCCAGGGAGGTGACACCCTCAGTGTCCCAGGGAGGTGACACCCACCCCTCAGTGTCCCAGGGAGGTGACACCAACCCCTTGCTGTCCCAGGGAGGTGACACCAAGCCCGTGGTCTCCCAGGGAGGTGACACTGACCCCAGAGTGTCCCAAGGAGGTGACACCAACTCCTCAGCCTCCCAGGGAGGTGACACTGACCCCTCAGCATACCAGGGAGGTGACACCAAACCTTCAGTGTCCCAGGAAGGTGACACTGAAGCATCAGCGTCCCAGGGAGGCAACAACAATCCCTTACAGTCCCAGGGAGGTGACACTGACCCCTTGCTGTCCAAGGGAGGTGACATCAACCCCTCAGCGTCCTAGGGAGGTGACACCAACCCCACAGTGTCCCAGAGAGGTGACACCAACCCCTTGCTGTCCCAGGGAGGTGACACCCACCGTGCGGGCCAGGTCACTGCGCACGCTGCTCCTCCTGAGCAGCTGCAGCCGGATGTCGATGTCGAATTTCCTGCAGTGCTGGATGTGCTCGTGGCTGCCCAGCTCGTGTTTGCTGCGGGGACAGGGCCACAGGCTCACCCCACACCCCGAAATCCGGCTTGGGTGCCCCAAAATCCTTCCTGGGTGCCCCAAAATCCCTCCTGGAGTGCCCCAAAATTCCTCCTGGGTGCCCCAAAATCCCTCCTGGAGTGCCCCAAAATCCCTCCTGGAGTGCCTCAAAATCCCTCCTGAGTGCCCCAAAATTCCTCCTGGGTGCCCCAAAATCCCTCCTGGAGTGCCCCAAAATCCCTCCTGAGTGCCCCAAAATCCCTCCTGGGTGCCCCAAAATCCCTCCTGGAGTGCCTCAAAATCCCTCCTGGGTGCCCCAAAATCCCTCCTGGAGTGCCTCAAAATCCCTCCCGGGTGCCCCAAAATCCCTCCTGGGTGCCTCAAAGTCCCTCCTGGAGTGCCCCAAAATCCCTCCTGGAGTGCCCCAAAATCCCTCCTGGGTGCCCCAAATCCTGCCTGGCTGCCCCAAAATCCCTCCTGGAGTGCCCCAAAATCCCATCTGGGGTGCCCCAAATCCTGCCTGGCTGCCCTAAAATCCCATCTGGGGTGCCCCAAATCCCACCTGGCTGCCCCAAATCCTGCCTGTCTGCCCCAAAATTCCATCTGGGGTGCCCCAAAATCCCCTGGCCAGGCGGCCTTGGCTGGGGTTCCCAGTGAGGCCAGGCTTCCTGCAGGGCTGGGTGAACTCGTGCCTGCCAAACGTGCAGGGAGAGCTCCACACGTTCACCCCACACCCCTAAATCCCACTTGGAGTGCCCCAAAATCCCACCTGGGTGCCCCAAAATCCCACCTGAAACCCCCCAGCCAGGCACCCTTGGGATGGGCTCCGAGCAAGGCTGAATTTCCTGCAGGGCTGGGTGAACTCGTGCCTGCTAAACATGCAGGGAGAGCTCTGCAGGCTCACCCCACACCCCAAAATCTCACTTGGAGCGCCCCAAAATCCCACTGGGAGTGCCCCAAAAACCTGCCTGGATGCCCCAAAATCCCACTTGGAGTGCCCCATCCCAGCCAGGCGACCTTGGCTGGGGCTCAGGGTGGCCGCCCTGCCCGCACAGGACATTTCTGGCAGCAGGAAATGCAGAGAATGAGGAATTGTTCTCCCTCCTTCCCTTCCAGAGCCCGGCCCGGCCTGCCAGGACCTGCCCAGGGATCCGTGGGAAGCAGAGCACGGATCTGAGAGTGGGGCTGGGGTGGAATTCTGGAGCTGGGAATGATGGGGAATTCTGGAGCTGGGAATGATGGGGAATTCTGGAGCTGGGAATGATGGGGAATTCTGGAGCTGGGAATGACGGGGGGAATTCTGGAGCTGGGAATGACAGGGGGAATTCTGGAGCTGGGAATGACGGGGGGAATTCTGGAGCTGGGAATGATGGGGAATTCTGGAGCTGGGAATGACGGGGGGAATTCTGGAGCTGGGAATGACGGGGGGAATTCTGGAGCTGGGAATGACGGGGGGAATTCTGGAGCTGGGAATGACGGGGAATTCTGGAGCTGGGAATGACGGGGGGAATTCTGGAGCTGGGAATGACAGGGGGAAATCTGGAGCTGGGAATGACAGGGAATTCTGGAGCTGGGAATGATGGGGAATTCTGGAGCTGGGAATGACGGGGAGAACCCTGGAGAAGAAAATACAGGGGGAATTCTGAAGCAGGGAATGACACAGAGAATTCTGGAGCTGGGAATGACAGGGGAATTCTGGAGCTGGGAATGACACAGAGAATTCTGAAGCTGGGAATGGCAGGGGGAATTCTGGAGCTGGGAATGACGCCCTGACTCCCCCATCCAGACCCCCCGGAGCAGGACCCCTCCAGCCCTGACCCTGATCCCCCTTTGGGTGGCCCTGAGCCCCCCAAATCCATCTCCCTCCTCCTGGGATTTATCCATGGCTGGGATTTATCCAGGGCTGGGATTTTTCCAGGCTCTGCTCCCTGACATGACTTTTATGGAATTCTCCTCCAAAAAAGCATTTTTGGCAGCTCCCAGCTTCCCAGCTGGTTCTCCAAGGATTTGGGGGTCAGCCTGACCAGGAGTGACATTCCCAAGACATTCCCAACATGCTGCTTTTGGCAGGAGCAACTCCAGGGGCAGGAAAAGGAGCAGAGCAGCTCCTGCTGTGCTCCCCGGGATCAACCCTGGGCGTTCATCACCCTGGAGCTCCTGCCATGGATTTTCCCTGATTTTTCCCTGATTTTCCTGTGTTTTCCCTGGGGTTTTTCCTGTTTTTCCCATTTTATTCCATTTCCCCCCTGGTTTTTCCCTCATTTTAACCTGTTTTTTATCTCTTTTTTCCCTGTTTTATCCCTGATTTTTCGTGGTTTTCCCCTGTTTTTTCTCTGATTTTCTCCTGTTTTTTTTTCCCCTGCTTTTCCCCCATGTTCCCCTATTTTTCATCAATTTCCCCCCATTTTTTTCCCTGTTTTTTCCTTGTTTTTTCCCGTTTTTTCCCCATTTCCCCTCACTTCCCCTGTGTTTTTTCCCCTTGCTTTTTGCCTGTTTTCACTCCTCTTTTCCCTGTTTTTTCCATTTTGCCTGTTTTTCCCATTTTTTCCCCTGATTTTCCATTTTTTTCTGTATTTTTCCCTGTTTTTTTTCCCATTTTTCCCTGGCTTTCCCCATTTTTCTCCCATTTTCCCCCATTCCCATCTGTTTTTTCCTGTTTTTTTCCCATTTTTCCCCCAGGGCCACTCACTTCTGCAGGAATTCCTCCAGGCCGCAGATCTTGAGCAGGAAATCCTCGACGTCCACGGCGTGGAGCTCGTCGTGGGTGTAGCACAGGGCCTGGTAGATGAGCAGGTCCACGGTGGAGGAGCCTGGGGGGACGGGAAGGGTCCCTGAATCCTCGGGAATGCTGGGGATGGTGGGATTGGTGGGAATGGTGGGAATACAGGAATGGGGGATTGGTGCGATTCATGGGAATGTGGGAATGGAGGGAATGGAGGGAAGGTGGGGATGGAGGGAATGGTGGGAATGGTGGGGATGGTGGGAATATGGGATTTGGGAAACGGTGGGAATGGTGGGATTGGTAGGGATGGTGGGATTGGTGGGAATGCGGGGATGTTGGGAAGGTGGGGATGGTGGGAATATGGGATTTGGGGAATGGTGGGAATGGTGGGATAGGTAGGGATGGTGGGAATGTGGGAATGGAGGGAATGGTGGGGATGGTGGGGATGGTGGGAATATGGGATTTGGGAAACGGTGGGAATGGTGGGATTGGTAGGGATGGTGGGATTGGTGGGAATGTGGGGATGGAGGAATGGGGGAATGTGGGGATTGGTGGGGATGGGGGAATGAGGGAATGTGGGGATGGTGGGAATGTGGGATTGGTGGGAATGGAGGGAATGCAGGAATGGGGGAATATGGTAATGATGGGAATGGTGAGGATGGGGGAATGTTGGGAATGGTGGAATGGTGGGCATAGTGGGAATGGTGGGGATGGTGGGACTGGGGGAATGTGGGGATTGGTGGGGATTGGTGGGGATGAGGGAATGGTGGGATTGGTAGGGATGGTAGAATGTGGGAATGGAGGGGATGGTGGGAATGTGGGAATGGTGGACATGGTGGGATGGTGGAATTGGTGGGAATGTGGGAATGGGGGAATGGTGGAATGGTGGGGATGGTGGAGATGGTGGGACTGGGGGAATGGTGGATTGGTGAATTGGTCGGATTGGTCAGATTGGTGGGGAAGGCGGGAATGGGGGAATATGGGAATGTGGGAATGGTGGGGATGGTGGGAATGTGGGAATAGGGGAATGAAGGGATGGTGGGATTGGTGGGATTGGTGAGAATGGGGGATTGTTGGGATTGGGGGAATGGTGGGAATGTGGGAATAGGGGAATGGAGGGAATGGTGGGGATGGTGGGAATGTGGGAATAGGGGAATGAAAGGATGGTGGGATTGGTGAGAATGGGGGATTGTTGGGATCATTGGGATTGGGGGAATGGTGGGAATGAGGGGATGGTGGGCATGGTGGGATTGGTGGGATTGGGGGAATGGGGGAATAGGGCAGTGAGGGGACTGTGGGACTGGGGGAATGGTGATATGTGGGGATAGTGGGATTGGTGGGATCGGTGGGAGCATGGGAACGGCAGGAGCAGCGGGAATGCCGGAATGGCCGCTCCGGCGGCCCGGGCGCACTCACAGTCGCAGGTGAAGGTCAGCGGCTCCCTCAGGCCGTCGCACAGCACCGTCACCTTCAGCCCGGCGCCGTGGCCCGGCTGCCCCGGGCTCGCGCTCACCGCGCTCCACACCAGGCCCGAGCCGGAGCGGTCCCCGGAGCCGGAGCTGGAGCGCAGCCTGGGGGGCAGGGGTGGCTCAGGGCTCCCGAGGGGGTCCCACGCCCCAAAAATCACCTGGGTGGCCTCCAGTCCCCTTTTGGTACCGCAAGGGTTCGGCACACGCAGAACAGCCCCTTTGGCGGCCCTGAAGCCCCTTGGAGTGGCCCTGAAGCCCTCTGGGTGGCCCTGAACTCTTCTTGGTGGCCCTGAATCCCCTTTTGGTGGCCCTGAACCCCTCTGGGTGGCTCTGAACTCCTCTTGGTGGCCCTGAATCCCCTTTTGGTGGCCCTGAATCCCCCTTGGTGGCCCGGAACCCCTTTGGGTGGCCCTGAACTCCTCTTGGTGGCCCTGAACCCCATCACGGTGACCCTGAATCCCCTCACGGTGGTCCTGAATCCCCTTTTGGTGACCCTGAAGCCCCTCTGGGTGGCCCTGAAGCTCCTCTGGGTGGCCCTGCATCCCCTCATGGTGGCCCTGAAGCCTCTCAGGGTGGCCATGCAGCTTCTCAGAGTGGCCCTGA